CTTTCTTGAGTGAAATATTAATGCTTAAAGCACCTCTACTCAAAGTACTTCTACCCATACTAGGAGAAAAGTATTGAGTACCTGTATTTTTACTTGAAGGGTGCAAGCAAGTAGAGAGTGACTTCTGGAAGTAGTATTTTGCAAATGGAAAATGTCTTGTAACTTCTCACCTACACCCTATCCTTAAATTTTACCCTCAGGTTTCTATCTATACACACTTACTTGAGAATAAGCCCCAATGAAAATAGGGTGGATGCGTTCAGTGAATCTTGTAGGCCTGCTAAAAATAGCAGTGGCTACATTTTGTAAACAACAATAGTATGAAACATTTGCTTAGAGTAGCAAACCCTGGATAGGATGTCATTTTCTAGTTTATTTTTAGCTGAGATGGATAGCTGAGATGAAGCCTCTCCTGTTCAGACCAGCGCAGTATAGTACTGTCATTTGGACTTTTGGCCTCAGGTGTGGAAATGTCTCGGGAGAAAAGTGAAATCTGAACTCATTCTTTAAGGCGGACATGAATGTCCTCTTTAGATTCCAGACATGAGGGCAAAGACCTCTTTAGCAGGGATACATTGCAGCAGTCCCAAAATCAGAGGTGTTGCTCCTGTATTAATATGCTCATTGCAAAAGATGTAACTAGAAGTAAGGATTGGTGATGTTTTTATCTTGTTTACCCACTAGGAGAACTGTAGTTGTGTTGCCAATATCTGCCTTTCAGAAGTTGAGGTAATGGCACTTTTGCTTTCTGATGGTTCAGTGAACACAAACCTTGTTTAATGCACAAAATAATTTAAAATGTTGTGTAAAAATTACCTTCAGACTTGGTTTATAAGGTGAATTTGATATTTAGAATTGGGCCCCATCACTAGTACATAAGCAAATACAGGTATTTGAAAATATGAGGGAAAAAACCCTGAAACCCAAATTAAAGCTAATCACAAGCATTTCAGAAAAGGGAATTCATTCTGTACTTTGTCTGTAGCTAGATTCTTCAATATTTACAAATTTGGTCTAATATTTCAATTGTTATTATGTGTTTTCTGATGGATACTCTTTTGCATGAGACCTGTCTGTCTGCAAGGTCATAAGGCTTGTTTACTGATGTATCTTTGTCAACTCTGAAGTTTGTGTATCAACCATTATGCAATGACATGTCTTTAAAAAGAAAGAAAAGGTGTTACTACTGTATAGCCCTCTTCAATGAATAGATCCCTCCCCACCAAATAACGGTCACTTGAGGAATTACCCAAAGCCTGTTTATGAAATTGAGGTGAAGTCTTTCCAGACTAATTATATTCAGCATGTAATTTCTAAACTTCACTCTGAATTTTGATTTTCAATTAACATTCCCAATTTGAAGATAATTTTCTATTTAATGTAATTGCAGGAAATAATTTATTGGCTGATTAAGACCGAGGGCCCAGCCTTCCTTAAGAAAACACTCCCTAACAAGCCAGCCTTTAAAAGCCATCTCATAGCTTTGGACAGATTTAACCTATTTTTGCAGCTGCACAGTTGCATTTAATTAGGATTGTGTGCTGTTATTCATTGGTGCAGTTTGTAGTTAGAATTATTCTTAAGAGACACTTTCATTTCTGGGTTTGTGTCATGATTAATTTAAACTGGAAAAAGCAGCCAGAGCTTATTCCTTCTGGAAGACGCCAGCCCTGTTTGTAATTGGAAGATGCCTACTAATGCTCCAGTGAATAGAATACTCTTCTGAAGAACTGTTTTAAATGCAACATTGCCTTAAAACCACTGGATTCACACTTTTGCTGTGCTGTAATTGGAATAGTGTGTGTAAATAACTTTTCCTTTTAAAATAAATCTTGTGCCCAGGTTCCAAATATTTCTGCTGAGTTGGTCCTCTGTGATACCTGAATCATGTCACTGCAGCCCAAATGCGATGGCTAGATGATGTTGAAGGGCTTCAAAATCCAGTATGAGACAGCCATTATTTAGCATTCTCTGAAATGTGCATAGCAGCCAGGAACCAGATCCTTCAATTAGTTGTACAGTAAGTTACCCTTAGAATAGTGTAGACAGTGGTTATTTCAAGTTTATTGTAATAATAATTGAGAGGTCAATGTTTTGCAGTCAAAACCTTGAAGGAGCTGGGGGTGGCGATGGAGCTCTGTCGTGGGCTGGTCCATGAGGTCACAAAGAGTCAAAAGTGACTGAACGAATAAACAACAAAACAGTCAACACTTCTGAATTATAATTCTATGATCTTATTACCAAATAGGTATCAGCTTTTAAAAAAGTTTCTGGTTCCTCTAAAAAGCAATTCTTTTATTTAGAAATGTGCATAATTAGTTAGCTGTAACTGTATTAATGCCCCATTCCACACTGTCAGACACTAAATCAGACTCCTCTGATTAATTGTGAGAAATTAAGCATTATCTGATAAATCCTATGTGAAACTTGGTCTGCTCCATTAAAACCTCCTGTTTAAATTGAAATTAACTTAATTATTTTTCTTTACACTTGATATTTCCTTCACTGTAATATTCATGAAAGCATGTGTCAGATCTGTAAATTTAACTGTTAGTCTCAGATTTCTGGGCTCTTTAATCAGTAATTATTTGTCTATAGAAACAGTACTACTGAGTTAATGATTTGCTAATTTGGAAAATGCTCATGTGGTTTCCTCTGTTAACTGATTTGTGTATTTTTAAGGAAATTGTATGAAATCAATTATTATTAAAGAGTAATTAAGGTGGAGAGTTCATTCCCGAAGTGCTGGTGCAGTTTTGGCATTCTAAAATTTCTAAAATGTTAATCTTCATTTCCAAAAACATACTTTAGATGTTATATTTTGGTTTAACAATTGCTAAGTGTGATATAAAATTTCATTATTTTCTGTTTTTACTGATACAATTTCCTCTTCAATCGATTTAATTATGATCCAGCTATTGTGAAAAAGGCTTAGATAAAAAAACCAATTTCTGTACAGTACAGATACAATTAGAAATTTTGAATGAATATCTTTATCACAGATTTGCCATGTATGCTTGTATTACACATCATTTACCCTTAAACATGCTGTAGAAAATGCAAATTTCAGACACTTAACTGAAACTACAGAGGGCTACTGAAGCTGCACATAATTCATTCACTGAATAGTTTGGTATTACAGTTTTGATCCATTTTTCAAGTGTACCTAGTTCATAGGAAAATTAGAGTAATTGTGCAGTTGTATTCATGCTTACTGAAAAATAAATCCCATTGGGTTCACTAGTGCTTTCTCCTGAGTTGTGACTGTCATAGACTTTGTTTGGAACTGGTTAGCTAGTGGCTTGTGAGTTCTGTTTTGCATGAGGAAAAGGTGTTGGCTAAGTGAAGAGAAGACTTCTGGTGAAAATGATCAAATGCATTGGTCCTGCACATTTATGAAAACTAACAGAAAGTGTTGAGAATATAAATTTGGAAAGAAGTGGCTGAAGAAGAATGTAACTACATATATTAAAATGCTTACGTTGCATACTCTGCAACATTCCACAGATAAAAACTCTGTGACCTTGCAACAACAGAATGTGAATAAGGTGGCAAAAGTTATAATTAAGAAAGCACATGCAAGCTAGGAAATGCTGCAGCAGTTTGGTTTTGCCTAGGAATACAAGATTGTACCTGGGAAGGGCAAGATTTCTCCCTCTTCCCTCCTCTCCTTTGAATTAATGGAGTGCAAACTATTTTTGAAGTTTGAGCTCAGAGTTGCTGTGAGTTTTCCAGGCTCCTGAGTCTGAGATGCATAGGATTCACTTGCATAAATGTGAAATTTTATGGAGGGTCTAAAATATTATTATCTACCATTTGGCTAGAAACACAGGAATGATGGTAATCAATATTATGGCCAGTGGCTTCTGTAGGAAAAAGCAGAGGATCAGATGATATTTACACCAGAAAAACAAGCCGAACTTCTGAATACATACTTTCATTATCATTGCTATATCATTAGATCTGCACATTTGCCAATTCCCTATATTCTTTGCATTTCTGTAAATATAAAATGGAGATGTAGCTCAGACAAATACAGCCAGAGCTGTTAATGTATTCTTAGAACTGAGTGTGTGGGAAAAAAGCCCAACTGAAGAGAAACTACAAATAATTCACAGGAAGAAAGAGGTCTCATGGTCTGAAAAAATCTGTTTTATTCTAACAGAGATCCTTATATGGGGATAAAACAAAATGTGTTTTCTCTTGAGTCCGATTACTTAAATAAGGACCTCATCACACTACAGAATGAAACCACTTTACATTCAGTTTCTGCCTCCTGCTGAATTTTGAGGTTTGTAGTGAGACTGTTAAAGGCTGCTCCCTAAACTACAAACCCCAGAATTCTGCATGAGGCAGCAACCGGATTTAAAGTGAATTCATTCTTTGTTGTGATGAGGTCTTAAGACTCGCTGAATTTGATGTGTTAGAAAGAGTACTTAAAATTAGCAATATTTCCATTGTCCACATCACTATCACACTTTTGGTTTACAGATAATGGTGTTGCAAATTGTATAGGAACGTTCTACAAAAAAATCATGTGCCCTCTATAAGGAATTAAAATGCACTACATTTTAAGGATGTTGTTACCAGCTGTATTACTTAAAAGTAAGTAAAGAAGACCTGATTGTGATCAGGTCCCAAATACTTAGAGTAGAAATTTTGGGCATTAAATATTTCATCCCTGCTTTGTGCCAAAACTAAATTGTACACCAAGTCTTCAGTTTATGGTGCTTTCCCAAATCTATTGAAAAAACAAAAACAAAACTCTAGTTACTAGAGAAATCTTTTAAGTTACATATGTAACCTCTATTGAAATATGTTGAGCTTATTTTTGAATAAACACACATAGCATTGCTATGTAGGCCTTCAAATTATCACATTTAGTGCAACTAGATAATTCTCCTTGTTACTTGGGTCTCTGCATTTGCAATCTGGGTGTTTTGATTTAATAAAATGCATATACATTATGTCGCCCCCCCCCTCCTTTTCTTATTTTGTAGAAGAATGTCTTCCAAGCAGGCCACCTCTCCATTTGCAATTGATGGAGAGGACGGGATCACCCAGGACTTAGCATCACAGGAGCAGGAAGATGGCAACAATGAAGAGCTGGTGGCTTCCCATCTGCCTCTGCACACCTTATTGCACAACAAACCTCACTCTGAGGAGCTACCGACTCTAGTCACTACAATTCAACAAGACGCTGACTGGAACAGTGTTATCTCAACTCAGCATAGAATGGTATGTCCTGAATTAGTGGTGATTTTTGAGTACAGTTTAGTGCTACTCTTGAGAAATGATGGTGAGGTGCTCAAATAGGTTGAAGTGGTTTCAATGATCCAATCGTATCTGATATAGACAGTAGAAGTGACTTGTGGGTCAAATGGAAGACAATGGAAAACTTTACCACACCTATTATGCTTACAGCTTGATAGTAGAACTTCTAGGTTCTTATCTGGTCACCTTTACTGCTCTGAAGCACTTGCATCCAATACTGCCTTTGCCTCCCACTTCTTGGCTCCTTTCTTCTCAGTGCAGCACATCAAATGTAAGATAGGAGTAAGTGTTCTGCTTCTCACTGCTTTAGGATCTGACAAAGGTACATGCCTTGTTCCTGATTCTATACTCAGATATACCCCTCTGCTTCTCTTAGTAGACTCCATCTATATATTAGAGGTGTGCATTTTTGTTTGCCTCATAATTTGCATCAAATTGATTACATTTTGTACTTACGAGGCAATATCCGATACATGGATGTGGCCTGCACCAACAATTTAAGAATTGAAACTTATCCCATACTTTTTCATTTTAGTTTTGTAAATCTCAGAAGGCTCCCAAAGTCAGTTTCCTTTTCAGTGCAAGGAAGCAAAGCAAAGCCAAAAAGGCTGCCTTAATGCCTTGCCTTTTCTATAAATTAATGGAGTCTCACCATTAGAAGCAGGAAAAAGAGGGAGCAGTGTTTGCTGGGAATAGCACAGAACTCTAGGAAATGCAGTTTGGGAAGGGAGGAGCTCTATACCAGAGAATTCAAAATGCCCTGCCTTTACTACATTTCCCAGAATGCATGAGCATCAGAAAACACCATTCAGGGTAGTGGAGAAAGAGATATGTCAGTCCCCCTCCAGCAGACAGTGAGAGTTCCATTGAATGATTTAATCTGCAAAGAGGAGGACTGACTGATACTTCTAGTAAGTAAATCTCTGTGGTGGTCTGGGAAGAAAGCCCTAAATCAGGGGTCCTCAAACTTTTTAAACAGAGGGCCAGGTCACAGTTCCTCAAACTGTTGGAGGGCCGGATTATAATTTGAAAAAAACATGAATGAATTCCTATGCACACTGCACAGATCTTATTTGTAGTGCAAAAAATATTCAAAAACAATACAATCATTAAAATGAAGAACAATTTTAACAAATATAAGCTTATGAGTATTTCAGTGGGAAGTGTGGGACTGCTTTTGGCTGATGAGATAGGATTGTTGTTGTGTGCTTTCAAGTGGTTTCAGACTTAGGTTGATCCTGAGTGAGGGCCGGATAAATGACCTTGGAGGGCCGTATCCGGCCCCCGGGCCATAGTATGAGGACTTCCCCCATACTATAAGGGAAGCATATTAATTAGTTTAGAGGCCAGAAGGCCATCTGTCAGTAGAGTTTTGATGGCACCCTGAAGAAGGGAGGTTGGATTAGATGGCTCTTGAGGGTCCCCTCCAACTCTAGAATTGGTTAGAATATGAAATTGGTTAATCTTGGTTTCTATTGTTTAATATGAGAGACATTCTATGAGACAGCTGTTGTGACTTTAAAAAATGTTTTTGTCAAAACTTTTTTTAAAAAAGCCCTAAAATCAGTAGATGTATGAATATTTCTGAAAGTTGGGGAGAATGACCCCCTGTTATTTCCTGCCATTGTATAGAAAATTCAAGGAGATAGCTCTTGTAGTTTTTCAAAAATGTTGTTCAGTACTACCACCAGCCTCTTTGGCATCACTTGCAAATAAGAGCTACAGCTGGATATCACCAAAAAACCGATGATATCCAATCCCAAAGCTCTGGGCTATTTATCCCCACAGGTTAAAGGCCATAAGACTGAACAACAGTCAGTATAAATTGCATTTTGTTACTTGATGGCAAGTAACAAAATATCTCCCCTGAAGCTCATATCTTCCCAATCAATTTGGACTTCCTGTAATTTTGGTTTAAATGAGCAGGAAACAGCATGAACCAAAAATCATGTCTCTTAATATTATTTTCATCCATAATTTCCTAAGCCTCCAAAATCATTGCAGACATCCCCCAAAAAGTGTCTATGATTCTTCAAATTTCAACCATTTCTTCCAAAACAATAAGTTATAAGCCATTCATTGTTGGTGTTTTTTTCTTTATTTGGGTAAATGGAAAAGACACCCGAGGTTTTGCTAGATGATGAGACAACCTTTCTGCCTTGAATATGAGGCAGAGCATGATGTCTGCCTGAACTGAGACAGATCACTCTCTGTATCCACTCTTAGTGTTTCTTCTTCCCATCACACTGGATCTTGGCTGATTTTGGAAACCAAACAAAACTGAGTTTGGTTAGTATTTGAATGAGAAATAACTTGGGAATTTCCAGGTAGCACCAAAGGAAGAATTCAGCATGACACTTGTAAAGCCTAATTAATATAAAAGATATCAAGAGAGTTTACTCAAAGTGTGCATATGACACATCAGGTTTTGGTAAATGATTTTTGATTTTTTTTAACTTGAAGGCTTCACACAAGTAGCTGTAGATACAATGAGAGTTGGATAAAATGTGTTTACTCATGTGGGTTGGTGGTTGAGGTTGTCTGAAATTTAATTCCAATCCTGCTAAATCCCCGTAAGGCACAAACTATCTTCTCAGTCTATGTGATGAGAAAAGAATGTGACTTTGAATCCAGGTGTTATGGTTTTATGAAATTAAATGTGATCAAACATACTACTTACTCAGTAGAAAAATCTTTATGTTCGTTTTGAAAAACCTAGACTCTTTTTTTAAAAAGAAAAATTCAGAATGGGATGAGGAAAACCACATGGTATGAAACTTACATTTTATACATTTTTCTTTTTTGCCTCCAAGTGTATTTCTCTGCTTTTCTGAAACCAAAATACTAATGTAACTTCATGTCAACACTTGCTGTACCTCCAAGAAGCTGAAAGAACCACACGTTACTTTCCTGTTCTCAGATTTCTGAAACAGGTGTATGTATTTTGCTCAAGTGACTTAGCTTGAGGTTTTCCTTTTCTAGTTTCAGAAAAAAAAATCCCTTTCAGGAAAAATAATCATACACTTCTGGGATAAAATTCCTCAAAATCATTAGCAGTTAAACCACATGTCCCTAAGGAGAGATTCAATAGGCTGTAGATAATTCTTCAAATGATTTAGCCTACGCAAAGGACTGGCTATGACTGACAGTATTTGGTCCTATGTAGAAAGTGATGTTCCAGGTCCTTTTCTCTCTCAGGCTCTCTATTGTGTTTTATAAAGTTTTAGATTCTAATCATTAGAGAAAGCAGCCACTATCTGAACTAATGGCAAAATCTGGTACAGTAGGTATTCTGAAACCTACTCATTCACAGATACTGTGCAAGACAATTTCCTAGCCATGGGGTCATAGTAGCTTTTACTTTACATGCTCATTTTGCAGAGGGATTGAGGTTTGACTTAAATATGTCCAGTCTACCAATCCCTTCTCTGGATATAGTGCTGAATTTATGTTCCTTTTGCCATAAAAGTTGAGTGCAAGAATATTGGCTACTACCTGGGCTAAGAGCCTTTTCATTGTCATTGGCAGGTGTGATATGTGGAGGACTGATATGAGTAGGTGTTTTCTGTAAACCTTTACATGGAAGCCATTACATTTAAATGGGAACTGTGTTACTTGAATTTAGCTGTGCTGCCAAAATAGAATAGAACTAGCTTTTTAAGGTGATGGGAGCTGAAGAGTGAGCCACAAAACAAAAAGGAATTCAAACGGAAGAAAATAGTTTCAGATGAATTAATACTCTGAAGAGAAAGCTTTTACAGAAGGCAAGAGATCTTGTGGATAACCCTGTCCTACAGTCAACATTTGAAGACACAGCTCTATATAGCACTCATAGCTATGAATTGCTATGAGCCAACCCAAATTTCTTCAGACAAATTGCTTAGGCAATGTGGTAGCTGTGCACTACCACAACAGTGGGGTTGTGGATTCACTCTGAGACTTAGGACTTTATTTCATGAAGTTGCTGCTTCACTGTCAATTATACATACTGGATTGAGCACCTTCAATATTGTACTGCTCTTCAATTGTGCAGTTGCCCTGATTCAGCAATTTGTGGTCCTTACATATTCCCTTGAAACCTTGGGCACATCTACACTGGCACACAGAGCTGATTTGGTTTAACTCAGAGCAAAGCTCCTTAATGTGGCCTTCCTTGGGTTAAACTAACTTGGAGGAAAGTCCAATCAAGTTTGGGGCAATCAAGTTAGCTGGGCCAGTTCCCCCTCCCAACTTGCTTAGTGGTGGACATCAGCCACAGTTCCAATGAGAAAGTAGGTGTGGTGTTGCTGTGACATAGGAGGGTGAGGAGGGCCCTGGGGTGGCTGCCCAGTGGTCCTGGACTATGTTTGGCAGGGCTGGGCAATGGGGACTTCAAGGCAGTTTGGGGAGTCCTAATTGGGACACTATGCAGGGTCTATTTGACATCTGGGAGGCTGGATTAATCTTGTATTATTGGGAAAGGGGAATCCTGGGGAGGAGACAGATTTACAGTGGGATGCACATGGTGTTATGCAATACTGCTTTGTCTGCCTCCTGCCAAAAAAGTCCTTAGTGTGGGCTAAAATCCAGAAGATATTTACTCCCATATGGACATGAGAATCACCAATTGCCTCTGCTCTAGTGTCTGATCTTATTTATTTATTTATTTATTTATTTATTTGAAACATTTATATTCTACCCTTCTCACCTCGAAGGGGACTCAGGGCGGAGCACAACATATATATGGCAAGCATTTCATGCTGGGACATAAAATAACTATAAATATACACAAACACTAAAATCAGTTATATCTACTTTAAAATCAGTTGTTTAAAACAATCTCAAAAAACCATGCTGGCTCTGGCCAACGGAGGGGTTTTTCTATTGTTGCCTTATTGCACTGTCCCAAAGGCTTGGCTCCACAGCAGGGTTTTTACCATCTTTCTGAAGAACAGGAGGGAGAGGGCTGATCTAATCTCGCCATA